TTATAGTTATAATATCTAGTCTATTTGTATTTGACAAAATTAAAGAAGATATCCTATCTATCATATATTTGTGAGTCTAAGGTTTCATATCTAATTTATCTTTTATTATAACCAAGGAAAATTATAACTATAACTATTTAGTCTTCAACTACATCAAAGACCTCAGAAGGATATAATATTACCTAAGTAAATAGGAAGTGCATTGTAAGCAACTTCCAAAAATCTAGAATGACAGAGACTGCTGGCTGCCTAGACAATCACCCAAAGTTGTTCTGCAAATTGGGGTATCCATTCTTCAGCCTACAGGCCTAGAGTCTCTCAGTCATTTTTGTCTGTGTCCTGTAGAATGTCTGGCAGTTTCTTCTGTGAAGTAGGAACCTGAAGGACCATTTTGTCTTGCAAAGTTCAGTAGTCACCTTCCTATGAGTCCTGCATGTCCAATCCATACAACATTTTGTCAGGCAGTCCAGACAAGAACAGTTTCTTGCCCAAATGGCTATTTTTGCCAAGAAGATTAAACTCCATATGGAGTGTCTTTGACGCCTGTCTTCCTCTTTGAAGTAAATCAGTGCTGCCAGGAGCAGATGTGTCTCATTGTCCAGGAAAGTCTAAGTTTTTAAAACATTTTAAATGCCACATTCTATAGGTTTTTGAAGTGTTTGAAGATCACCTACCTAATTGAAATATATCTATGTGTACCTAGAAAACTTAATTAACATGACTATAAGTTTGACTATCATAGAAGACTAATTATTAATCTGTATTTCTTAATTATCCATTACAATTTAAATGAGTTATATAAACATAATATTTTAAACAAGAGTAGAAATATACATACAGTATAACAAGATTAACTTTAAATTTGTATCAATAAACTAAAATCTATAGCAATGTAAAACGTTTTAAACAAGTTGTTGCTCTTTAAAAGTAGAGTCAATAATCTACCCTTTCATCCTATCATATCTATATCCTATATTTCTATATCATATTCCCCTTTCTTCTTTTTGAAAGAGATTGAATTTATCATCAACCTCTTTTAAATAAAAATATACATTCATAAACAATATTTTGGGAATTTGGGCATAGCTTCTCATACTATTTCCTGCTGATAGAGGATGCTAGTAATCTTATGGGGATCCTGAGAAAATTTGAGATAATGGTCAAGTCCTGGGAAGACTGGCTATATATAATGTTTGTAGATAATACCACCAACTGTTAAGGTTCAGGAAGTCTGGCTTGATCAAATCTGATCCATCTTAACCTGGAACAAATCCATAGCCTCTTGCTTCCCGTGGAAACAAAAGCAGAGCCTCCTTTCCTAAGCAACATATCCTTAGATCCAAATTTTGAAGTCAAAATATCTTTAAAATATACATATTGGTTTAACTTGGTAGCCTTTACAATCAAATGTCTTTCTGCAGTTAAAAACCACAAAGACAATATAATCCAGACTTTCTGTGTGATTTCCATCTTTACGTGGCATACTTTTTATATTACTTTTACTTTCTCTTTAAAGACTTTATTTTTTAAAAACTTTCTATTTCTTTATATATAATTGTCTATATTTCTTCTCCTCTTTCTTCCAAGCCTACATATATTTTTATACACATTGTAAACCATTTAGAGGTTTATTTATCTGAATCTGTTTTATTTTGAATTCATTGCTTTAAACTGCAGCATTACTAAGACTGAAATGGCAGCTTTGGCTGCTGGCTCCACCCACCTCAGTTTTCTAACATGGTAGTGGTACATTTACTGCCAGCTCTGGCTCTGGGAGCCATGTGCACCACCAACTCTCAGAAGCAGTGGATCCATGCCTCCATTAAAGCAGCGTGTAGCCCAGAAACCTTTTTAAAAAAATTTTTTCTGTACTAGCAAAAGCTAAATCCACCATGCAACATATTGCATGGCTTGGAGACCCCTCTGTGTACTGCAGCAGGAATCTGCTATGCTGCAGGTCAAGCCAATACACTGCAAACTCACCATACTGTAGCTCAAGTCTGTACGCTGCCGCTGGCCTAAGAGACACATTAGGAAACTGTTTTTAGCTCCATTTTAGAATCTTTTTAAAAAAGCTTTCTCAGGTTTTAGGTGGAAAGTGTTGCCACCACATCTGGGTGCCAATTGTATTTGGAAGTTTTTCTGTGTTCTACCTGGCCTGCAGTCAGGACAAATCTCTCATCCACAGTCCCACAGCCTTTTATAAAATAATCACACAGAGGCTTAATATTAATTATAACTGCTTGGCCATTTGCTCAGGCTTATTATTGACTAGCTCTTCCATTTAATAATTTAAATTAACCCATAATTCTTATCTATGTTTAACCACGTGGCTTGGTATTTTTTTCAGTTCTGCCTTCACATCTTGCTTCCTCTGTGTCTGGCTGGTCACTCTTGACTTAGCTTTCCTCTTCCCAGAATTCCCCTTGCCCCACCTACACTTCCTGCCTGGCTTCTGGCCAATCAGCATTTTATTTATCAACTAATCAGAGCATCACACATTCACAGTATACAGAATGATATTCCCATCAGGAGTGGAATGTGGTGGTTTGAATGATAATGTCCCTATAGGCTCATGTGTTTGAATATTTGGTCTCCAGTTAGTGGAACTGTTGGGGAAGGATGAAGAGGCATGGCCTTGTGTGTCACTTGAGTGGAAAAGCCCACACTATTCCTAGTCTGTCCTCTGCTTCCTGCTTGTGGATCAATATGTGAGTTTCAGCTGCTTTTCCAGTCACTTGTTGCCATGCCTTCACTCTGCCATCATAGACTAAAATGCTCTGGAACTGTATGACTAATTAAACTCTTTTAAAAGCCAGTCATGGTATTTTGTCACAGAAATAGAAATCTAACCAAGACACAGCTTTTGTCTTCAGCTGTGGTGGATAGCCTCTGTCAGACCAATCTTTTGTAGGCAACAATTATGACAAAATATTAGAAATAAAACTTCCTGACAGTACAAGAGACAAAGCAATAGAGGCAGAAATATCAGCTCACAGGGGAATTGATATTTTTGGTGAAGGGACGAGTATTGATTGAGTCTCTTGCTTTTGTGTACCCAGAGGATACCAGGCTGCATGGCTCTGGCAGTTTGAATCTAATTGGCCCCTATAATCTCATAGGAGTGGCACTATTATGAGGTGTGGCCTTGTTGGAGTGGGTATGGCCTTGTTGGAAGAAGTGTGTCACTGTGGAGGTGGGCTTTAAGGTTTCCTATGCTCAGAATACCATCCAGCATGTCAGTTGACTTCCTATTGCCTGCAAGATGCAGCACTCTCAGTTTCAGCACCATGTCTGCCTGCACACTGCCATGCTCCCTGTCATAATGATAATGGACTGAACCTCTGAAACTGTAAATGAGCCACACAGTCAAGCAGTCAAGGCAAGAGCAGTTCCTTTGCCCAGTGGCTAACCTTGCCACAATGAAAGCAAACCCCTATGGAGTTTCTTGGATGCACATCATCTTTTAAGAAGTAAATTGGTGCTGTCAGGATCAAATGTATCTCATTATCATGAAAAACTTTAGGTTATTAAACATCTTAAATACCATATTTAGGTCTTTGAAGTATTTGAAAATCATCTATCTGTCTAAAATATACTTGTTTAACCTGGAAAACATACCTAATGTGACTACAAGTTTGATTATTATAGATAAATTACTAACCTCATTTCTTAATTATACATTGCATTTTTAAGTGCATAAGCACAATACACCAAACAAGAATAGAAACATATATACAGTATAACAAAAATGACTTTAAATTTGTATCATTATACCAAAATCCATGCCAATGCAAAATATCTGAGATGCCTTTTTATCCTATATTCCTATATTTTCCTAAATGATAACAAACATCCATCACCCACCAAATAACCAAAGACCACCTATACTATCTCTTGGGAATATGGGCATTCTGTTTTCTAGACTGCTTCCTGTTTACTGTGGGTGAAGACATCTTTAGGGATCCCTGATAGAAGTTTGGGATAATGGATAAGTCCTGGAAAGACCAGCTATAACCTTTGTTGATATATAGCATCTGTCAAATTTAAAGAGGTCTCCCTTGATTAAACCTGATCAATATTAACCTGGAAGGAATCCACAGCCCCTTGTTTCCTGTGTAAACAAAAGCAAAACCTCTTCTCTAAAGCAATGCATCTTGTAAGTTCCGTTAGACAATATATTTTTTGGCTTCCATTTTAAAGTTAAGGCATTCCTAAAGTATATAGGCTGGTTTACTTTAACAGTCCCTCTTTCAATTCCAGGTCTCTTAGCAGGTGTCCTTTGATTTTCAACAATCAAAAAAATTCAAAATCCACACAATAACATACAGGATCCAGACTCCTCATGTATTTCCCATCTTATATGGCTTTTTTTGTTGTTAAACAGTTTAAATTTTATTGACCTCCCAGTTTTTTTTAAAAAAAAATTAAAGGTCACACCTCTAGGTCGATGTACTATATACAGATCATGCAGAATGAGTATGAAGAGATACAAATGAGTCATGCCCAAAAGATTGACTAGAGTACAGAGTCATCTTCATAAATACATATAAAATCCTTATGAAGACAGAAGGGACTACCAGGTTTTCTGAGACACTTTCCAAAGTTATTCAAGGCACAAAATATACACCACTGTGAATATACACACTCTAGGCTTTGTGCCTCTGATACAGCCCAAAGATTTGGCTCCATGACTATTATAAAACTAAATATACTGAATGAGATTCTGTTTCTCAGGTGAAAAAGCCAGATCTATAAACATCAAGTAGATAATTACTCCAAAATATGGAGAATACAAATACAAGCACTTTATTTTAAAAAGCAAACCCAAAAGATTGTGTAAATCCAAAAGTGTTAACTGCTTCCAAGCTTACATTTTGGATCATTTAGTACCTATACAAGTTTGTTCCCAGGAGCTTATTATGCATCACTGTCTCAACTAAGGAAAATGATTCTAAAAGTTAACATTGTTTTCAGTATTTAAAATCTCACTATATATAAAAGTCTAGAGAGACCAATAATATCCGATAGCTTCAAAAGATAAACTAAGATAAGACTCTTAGGTGTAATCAACTTTACCAATGTTTGTCCAGGTCTGTTTAACATATACACAAGGAAAATATACTCACTATAATTTCTTATCAAATAGCAAGTAGGGAGTAGATGTAGGAGTTGTAGAAGGGGAAAGAGAATTCAAAAAGTCCTTCTCTTCTGTAACTTTTACTTCAGAGTCATCAAAGAGCAACCACTGCCCCTCGTACTCCTTTAAGCTTTGCACTACATAGGAAATTTTGTTCTCAAATCCATTCATGTTAATGCCTGTTTGGTCACTGGATTCCTTGTTCCTGTCGGATTTGTGGGTCCCATTTGTATCATTAGTTTCAGAATTTCTATTTTCAGCCAACGCTGTCCCGGCAACCTTATCAGGATTAGACGCTTTTTTGTACAGTTCATAATCTGCTTTGCTCTTTTGTCCTCCAAGAAGTCCAACAGCTTCTACATTTTTTTTTTGTTCAAAACTTTACTTGGCTGGGCATTTCCACCAACTCTAATTGACACTTCATCACCGTAATTTTCAGCCATCCCCCTTGCTTCCTCCTCATTCAGTGGCTCTGGCTTACCTAGTTCACACATCTGGTCAACCACAAAATACCCTTTATCTAGTTCTAGACTGTTAAGGTCAGTGACTTTCACAGAAGCAGTATAGTGCCCACTACTAATAACAATGCCACTGTGCATCACAACAGCAAATAATCCATAGCTGTCATTAGTCGGCTTTGTACTCCATTCTTCTAGTGACAGTTTAAGAGGTGTCAATAAAGGAGTGTTGATCTTGGAAAGTCCACCACCATAACAATCAAACTCCAAGCCACTAGCAGCAAAGCACTTCAGATGGATAGTGATAACTTCAGGCATTTTATCAAATAAGAGACTTCGCTCTGCTTCTGTATAATGATGGCAATTTTCACAAAAATATTTATCTTCCCCTACAATTCTCTCCACTGAAGCAAACTGTGAAATTGCCCATCTCAAGGTCTTCATTTCTGTTTTTGGCTCTGGAGAAATTTCAGAGCTCTCCTCAACTTTAGAAAGCTCATCTTCTTGTACCGGGACACTAATATCCTGAAAATCTTCTCTTCTTTCTGTTAAGCTTTCACATTCCAAACAGCGAGTCCTTAATACTAACTGACCTTGAAATAATTTCTCTACGAGTTCAAAACCAACTTGTTCTGCACCTTTGTTTATGGGCTTAACTTCACTAACGTGCACAAGTTTAACACTGCTTCCTGGAGATTCGAGAATACCACCATTGGCTGTGTTCTCACTTTCGTTCTTCCCTAAGTCCTCTTCCAAGTCATACTCGTTCTCTTTAGGTTGTCCTTTGGATCGCTGGTTTGTTGTTATTTTCCCCAGACTACAGAACTTAGAAAGAATGCTGGGCTGCTTAGTTGTAGATTTTAGCCAATTGATTTTAACTTTTGATTTCTTTTGAGAGGGTCTTGCGCTCTCATTTTCAGAAACACACTTGGGGATGATTTTAGAAATCTCAACTGTGTCACCTATAGCTTTTCTTTTTGATCTAATTTGTCTCTGGTTCTCTTCCAATGACTGGGGTTCCTTGGACAATTTAACTTTTTTCTTCAGGTTACCAGACTCACTGTCACTTTTTCTTTTCCAGTTTCCTTTTGGGAGTTTTTCTTTAAAGTCCTCCAAATTCCTCATACTGTCCATCTCCGTGTTGTTGACTCCACTCATCTCCTCTTTCTGATGAGATTTTTCTTCTACCTTAGTAGATAATTCAGCCAAGTTTTTCACTTTTCTTCTTTTTTTAGGAGTTGACATGTTTCTTGAATGTTTCCCAGAATACACTGTAGCACTTCCTGTGCATCATGCTGTAGATATCCTTCATACATAGGGTTGAGTTCCCTGAGTGTGTTAAGCAGTCGCCTTGGCTGTGTAGCAAGTTCATCTGTATATTTCTCTGGATTTAAGAGAAAACTAGCTTGAAGCTGTTCAACTGAAATTATTAAGGACTGTAAACTGCATAAAAGCTCATAACTTGCCAAAGGATCTTCTTTGCAGCTTCCCTTATCTTTCTGATTAGAGTCATCCTTCAGAGCTTCTTTCTTCCTTGAAATAATGTTAAATAAGTGCTTCACTCCAGACTTAAAACCAGGACAAAAGTATAACACCTGAAGAATACTGTTCAGATAGCAAGTGTTGCCAAGATTATTCAGTCCCACAAATGGTAACAGGTTTTCTCTCTTCTCACAGTTTATTGGTGAGGATTGTGCCGCAGGAACAACTTGGTCAATCTCAGATCCTCTATATTTAGAAGCTTTTTCTTCATTTTCTTGAGAATCGGTGAAATCTAAAGCTCTTTTAGTTTCCTTTTTCTGAAAAAACTTCAAAGAAAGTCTGTTCTTCTTCGATGGACTACCTCACTAGGTATGACACCAGGCATTTTCTTTTAAAATTGCAAGGAGTTGACGAGAATTAACTTATAGAAGGCAGCAGTAATCACCAATTATATCCGTTCATGGCCCTGAGCAAGGCCACGGTGCTGCCGCCGCCGGGGAGACCAGCTGGGCAGAGTGCGGGCGCGACAGGTGAGCCCCGCCGCCGTCCCAGGAGAGGGGTCGCTGGTTGGTGCCTCCCGCGCGGGAGTGACCATTCGTCCGCCAAGCGGGAGCCAGGCTGCCGCTCAGTCCTGCCCGCCGCGGCTCCACTACATCCCCGGCGCAGCCCAGCCGCGAAGGCTACAGGCGCACAGCGGTGACGGCGCTCCGGAGCCACAGGGACCCCGCTCGGCCACCGAGCGGCTTTTTTTTTTTTATATTACTTTTACTCTCTCTTTAAAGACCCATTTTCTTTTCTTTCTTAAGCCCATGTACATTGTGAAACACACTGGAACTTGTCTAATGGTTTTTCCATCTGGACCTCTTTCACTACATATCTCTAGTCTTTTTTGACCATGTGAGCAAATTTAAACTGCTAAGCTACAGCTGTGTCCTCCATGAAGCTCTGTTGACTGGCTCTGTTCACTTCTTAGTTTGTGAAAGCCAAGCCTAAAGCTCACAGTCCAGTTGGAGGTACATGATCAGAAACTGGTTGGAGGTACATGACCAGAAACTGCATTTGACCCCTCAGATATCTAAAATGCTGATGATTGCACTATGGCAGACATTTTTACTTAGTTTTTTGTTTTTATTTAGTATAAAAAATGCTGTTTAAGTGATCTGCTGTAAGGAACTGTATCCTTCCCCCCCCAACCCCCTGCAGCTTTCTCAGGCCCTAAGTGGAAATTCAGGCCCATGTTGGAACTCAAAAATGTAGTTGGTTGTTTTTACTCCTTACTCTTTGGGGGACCTGTCACGCAGCTCCCAAATAAATCACATGGATGGTTATTCTTACTTATGAATACCCTGCTTTAGCTTGACTTGTTTCTAGCCAGCTTTTATTAACTTAAATTATCCCACCTACCTTTTGCCTCTGGGCTTTTATCTTTCTCTATTTCTGTATACCTTTCTTTACTCCTTACTCTATGGCTTGCTGTGTAGCTGGGTGGCTGGCCCCTGGAGTCTTCCTCTCCTCCTCTTTCTTGCTCCTCAAAATCTTCTTCCCAGATTTCTCCTCCTATTTATTCTCTCTGCCTGTGAGCCCTGCCTATCCTTTCTCCTGCCTTGCTATTGGCCATTCAGTTCTTTATTAGACCAATCAGATGTTTTAGACAGGCACAGTAACACAGCTTCACAGAGTAAAACAAATGCAACATAAAAAATGTAACACATCTTTGCATCATTAAACAAATATTCCACAGCATAAACAAATATAATACATCTTAATCTAATATTCCACAACAATGGTCCTACCATCTCTTAGCTGAGATGAGATCACCTCAGTGACCTCACCTGGGAATCAACATAAAGTCTCGTCAGTCTCCATAGCTGAACTTTGTGTACACATGCTTCTAGGAAGACTCACAGAAAAAAAAAAGCTGAATAGAGTTGGAAGAAGGGAAAGTAGAAACAGGAAGATAAACTAATTCCAAAAGATTATAACACATGAAAAAGAAACACTGTAGCACAACTACCAACCATGTCCTGGTCCCAATCTCTCAATTGAATAAAAAAATCACAAAGGTAGCTGAAATTAAAAGAATTTAGTGCTTTTGAAAAGAATTAAAGACCATATAGAAAATTTAAATACAAAAATGCATGAACTAAGACAATCTATCCAAGACCCGAATGAGACTGTCTTGAAAGTGAATTGAACAGTTAGCATTTTTTTTTGTTTTTGTTTTTCAAGACAGGGTTTCTCTATGTAGCCCTGGATGCTGTCTTGGATCTCACTCTATAGATCAGGCTGGCCTTGAACTCACAGAGATCTGCTTGCTTCTACCTCCCGAGTGCTGGGATTAAAGGCGTGTACCACTGCTGCCTAATAACAGCAAATTTGAGGAGAAATTTTAAAGGAAAAATTCAGCAAGGAAACTGAAATATTTAAAAAGGTCCAAACAAAAATACTGTAAATGAAATAAATGGCTAATCAAATAAAACCCCACTGGAAAACATTGTGGAAACACAAGACTGTGGAGAAGAACAAATTTCAGGGGGCAGGGGACATAGTGAAGACATAATAAAAACAGACAGTAAGGATAAAAGTTAAACCTGAACAATATTTCTAAGAAGTCTGAGATACATTCAAGTGGATAAACCTGTAAATTCATGGTGTAGAAGATGCTCAAGATAAAATATAAAGGAATAGACAGATAATCTAAGGGAATTGCTGCAGAAAACTCCCCAAATCTAGAGAATTAAGTAGAAATACAAATACAAGAAACATTCATAATCTCAATAGACATGATCAAAGAAGAAACTCTATGACATATTATAGTCAAAATATCAAACATACAAAGTAAATAAGCAATACTAAAAGAAGTATGAGAAAATTGAAATTTAAAAGTTTCTCCACAGCAAAGGAAACTTTGGCAGCTATATTTCACACAGGAGCTAATATCCAGAATTTCAAAAGAATGGCAAAAACAAACATACAAAGAAATCCCCTGGCAATTACCAAATTGGCTAGTGATAGGAACAGCTATTCTAAAAATGGCCAATAAGTGTTTTAAAAAGTGTTCAATGTTCCTAGCCATTAGTGATATACAAGTTAAAACCACTTTGAAATTTCACCTCACCCCAGTCAGAATAGCTATCATAAAGAAATCTGAGAACAAATGATTGTTAGGAGTGGGGTCAGGGGGAGCATTGTGGAGTATTAGTTTAAGATGTGTTACATTTGTTTATGCTCTAGAACATTTGTTTAATGATACAAAGATGTGTTGCACTCTTTTATGTTGCATTTTTTAACTCTGTGAAGCTGTGTTAATGTGCCTGTCTAAAACACCTGATGGTCTAATAAAGAGCTGAATGGCCAATAGCTAGTTAGGAGAAAGGATAGTTGGGGCTGGCAGACGAAGAGAATAAATAGAAGGTGAAATCTGGGAAGAAAAAGAAGAAGAAGCAAGACAACAAGGAGATGAGGACAGCAGGGTCCAGCCACCCAGCTACGCAACCAGCCATGGAGTAAGAATGAAAGAAAGATATACAGAAGTAAGAGAAAGGTAAAAAGCCCAGAGGCAAAAGATAGATGGTATAATTTAAGAAAAGCTGGCCAGCAACAAGCCAAGATAAGTCTGAGCATTTATAACTAAGAATAAGCCTCCATGTGTGATTTATTTGGGAGCTGGTTGGCAGGCCCCTAAAAGAACAAAAGCAAACTACAACATTTTGGCATTCCAATATGGGGCTGTAGAAAGCTGAAAAACGGGAGGAACGCTTATGATGTGGATATGTTCTGTATGCTGTGAATGTGTTACTCTGATTGGTTGATAAATAAAATGCTGATTGGCCAGCAGCCAGGCGGGAAGTATAGGTGGGACAAAGAGAGAGGAGAATGCTGGGAGGTGGAAGTCTGAGTCAAGAGATGCTGCCAGACACCATCACCATGAGAAGCAAGATGTGAAGGCAGAACTGGGAAAAGGTACCAAGCCATGTTGCTAAATATAAATAAGAATTATAGGTTAATTTAAGCATAAGATCTAGCTAGCAAGAAGCCTGACCCATTAGGCCAAATAATTTTAATTAATATAAGCATCTTGTGTTTATTTGGGTCTGAGCAGGACTTGAGAAAACTCCAGCTACACCCTTATTCACTGCTTATTGGTGTGCAAATCAGTACAGCTATTACAGAAATCAATATGGTGGTTTTTTTCAAAGCATTAAAAATATAACTACACAGCTATGCCACTCTTGAACATGTATGCAAATGACTCCCTATCACACAATGATACTTACATAGAGATAGAGATACTTGCATATCCATATTTTTTGGTGCTCTATTCATCATAGCAAGGAAAAGCAAACAGTTTAGATGTCCATCAACAGATGAATGGATACACAATGGAATTTTATATCACTGTAAAAAATGAAAATTTCAGGCAAATAATTGGATGTGGAAAGTATAATAACGTATGTGACTCAAACTCAGGAAGTTAAAAACTGTATTTTCTCTCACATTCAGTACCCAAAATGTACTACATACATGTAACATATAAATATAAAATATAAATGTAGGTGCTGTAGATATTGTTCTGTATAAATAAAACACTGATTTGCCAGTAGCCAGGCAGGAAGTATAGGTGGGACAAGCAGAGAAGAGAATTCTGGCAAGTGGAAGGCTGAGGCAGAGAGACACTGCCAGCTACTGTGATGAAAAGCAACATGTTAAGATACCAGTAAGCCATGAGCCACGTGGCAAGGTATAGATTAATAGAAATGAGTTAATTTAAGATATAAGAACAGTTAGCAAGAAGCCTGCCATGGCCATACAGTTTGTAAGCAATATAAGTCTCTGTGTGTTTACTTGGTTGAGTCTGAGTGGTTGCAGGACTGGTGGGTGACAGAGATTTGTCCTGACTGTGGGCCAGGCAGGAAAACTCTAGCTACATGTAGGTAAAATCTAAAAACAACAACTAGAAAGTAGACCATGTGAAGGTAAAAATAGGTGATAAGAAAGGTGAGGCCTGGGACATAACAAAGGAAAAGAGACTAAGAGGAGGTTACAAAGGTGGATTTGAGTGGCTAGAAGGAGAATTTACTAAATTGCACTTGTGTTATAAAATTCCATAATGATATGTAATACTTTGTATGCTAGTTTACAAAGTAAGAAAATATTTAAAACATATCTTTAAGGACATAAATCATGCTTATAATGATTTCAAAAAATTTCAGTAGAGAAAAAGTATTGAAAAGGACCAGTTATGAGTTAGGTACAATGGCAAATTCTTGTAAATTCAGTACTCCAGAGGCCAAGACAGAAGGATAGCAGCAATTTTGTGACCAGGCTGGGCTACATAGTGAGTTACAGGACATCTTAGGGCTATATACACTGAGAGTCTTTCTAAAACAGTCCACCCTGTCAGAGATAAAAGAATTAATTATGAATCCACAATTGGGAAAAAAAACCTGTAGTGTAATTTTCACCTGATCATTCTAATGGATTGTAGATCACAGAAGAGGGAATAAAAAAATCCTGAACATAGGTGAAGAGAAATTATCCATTCTGGAAAGCTGAGAGGATAAGAGATTTTTTTAAAAAAGAAAAAGAAAGAAAAAATGAAAATAATAGATCTGTGATGTTCTGTGGGGAGGTATAAGGTCTAATAAATGTATTCTAATAAAGAATCCCAGGAGAGAGGAAAAAGCGCTGGAGGTTAAAATTCTTGAAGAAAAGTAGGCCAGATCTGATGGTACAAACCTGTAAATTCAGCTACTCTGGGGTTGGGGCAAAAGGATCCAAAGTTTGGTATGGGTGGGGAAAACGTTCCTAAAGCTTTTGGTCTCTAAGAGAGTCAAAGATTCCAATGGGGCAATACTAAGAGATGCACAATAACACAATGCACAAATAGTAAGTCTAAGAAAATGGAAATAGCTTCCCTCCCCCGTTTTCCTGGAACTCCGAGAATTGAACCTAGGACCTGTGCATAAAGGTAAGCACTATGCACATGAGCTCTACCGTCATTCATTTTCTTTTTCCTCTTTATTTTGTCAGAGTCTTTCTAAATTGTGCAATCTGGCTTTGACAAATCGAACCCAGTCTTCCCGATACCTAGAATTGTAGGTTTGCACCATCATGCCTGGTAATGAATAACTTTTTATTCTTTTTTTGGGGTTTTCCAGACAGAGCTACAAAACCGAAGCTGGCCTCAAAGTGTTTATGTAGCTGAGGATGACCCTGAACTCCCGATCTTGCCTCTACTTCCCAAGTGCTGGGATGACCAGTGCACAGTGCTACTAATGGGTTTGTGCTGAGTTGAAGATCAAACCTGAAGCTTCATGAAACTCACATCCAAACACTACATTAATAATAGAAAGGAAAGGACAAAAACTATCAGGTAAGGTGGCACACTCCTTTAATGCCAGCACTCGGGAGGCAGAGCCAGGCAGATCTCTGTGAGTTTAAACCTAGCCTGGTCTACAGAGCGAGTTCCAGGACAGCCAGGGATGTTACACATAGAAACCCTGTTTCGGAAAAACAGGAACAAACAAAATCCCCCAAAAACTATCAGGTAAGATTAAACGACATTATGATATGTGGGCAAATTTATTGGGAACACATAAAATTCATGTTTTTCCACTGAATAAGAAAGCTTCAAAATCAGTTACAGAAAAGTCAGCCTCGGAATAGACCCTCTTATTTACACCTCTGTCTAAATGATCGGAGGAAGGACCAATGAGCGTGTCTCTTACTTCTAGACATCTCAAGTTTTGCCATGTTAAGCCTTCACATTGGTGCATATGTTCCCTGTTAACAGTGGCCCCGCCTCCGAGAGCTCTTAATCCAATCATTTGCCATCGAGAGATCCAGAATGTTTTTCAAGATGCAGAGGAGGTTTCTGGGAGAAATAGGGGGTTCTGGGAGTTCGTTGGGCGGTTGAGAGCTTCACGCGTCTCGTCGCCCGCTCTGCTGAGGTGACTTTGGACATTCACACTTGGGACTCCTGAGGAGAGCAGAGTCAGGGAAAGTGAACAATCAGGTACGAACATTAGTTGGCGTAGACCCTACTTGCTTCCGAGTGCCCAGGGGCTGCCACGGTAGGATATATCGAGGGTGTGTCGGAGGCCGTTGGACCCACCTGAGTGAGGCCTACTGTGTTACGCGTAGTCTGGTCGCTTGTAGCCACAGGGTGGATGAGAAAGGGTTGCTTGGATATGGCACACGGGAGGCTGTGGGGTGATAATCACTGCCTGCATGCTGTGTGAGGGAGAGGTCAGGAGGGAGCGGTTGGGTGAAGGCAATTTCCTGGGGAGTGTAGTGAGGTGCCTTAGGCTAGGCCACAGGGTGTTGGTAGGTCAGGCTGCTTGGGACTGGCCCCTTGTGTCTGCATGCCTGCATGTTCATGTGCCTGAATGGTGTGTGTGTGGCGACCGCATGCACCCCTTCTTTGACTGGACCTCCCACCCCTTCCGCGCCCGGATGCCTGTATCTCCCACACTGCCGGAAGCCCCTGCTGCCGGAGCCTCGGCACACACATGTAAATGTATAGCTGTGGACTATGGTGGTGAGAGGCTGAGCCACCGAACAAATGGTGCCCACACAGGGCAATGGTGGAGAAGGCAAAATGCGCATGCGCATTGGGCCTTGGCGGGCTAACATCTGTTCGGTCTCTGGGGCAGTGAGGCCTGGTTTTGGCACACAACATGGCGGCCAGCCTCAGCATGGAGGAAGGGAGAGGGGCCGGACGACAGTCCCGCAGTGAGATTGGGCAATTCTTCTGCTTGCTGGGCCAACTCTCAGTAGTACGGGATGTGTTAAAGTTCTGCACCAAGGGTACCCCAATTCTGGGAGTGGTAAGAGAGGCTTCTGGTTTTGGGTCGACTGGCGAAGAAATGAATACCGGCCGGCTTGGTATGGGGCAAAAGCCTAGAGCTTTTTGGAGGCTAGAGGAGACCAACAATATTTAAGCAATTGGGGGCCCCTGCTTTCTGGCCTAGAGAAACTTGCTGTTTGCTGAGCATGCTTATGTGTTGCCATGTGCCAGGACCTTGTGGCTGGCAGGTGGACAGAACTGAGTGGCAGAAGTGTGGGGCAGATTGGAAGAACTGGTCACTGTGTGAGGGTGGATGGCATGCAGAAGACAAGGCTGAGTGACTTTCTAGGATGAATGTGATGACCAGGGACCCTTAGTTGCTGTACATGAACTGGTGGGTGGAGGGGCAGTGGTGGCTTTAGTGGGCTTTTGTGTGTACTTGGGATTGGAAAGGATCCACAATCCCACAGATACCTTTGGGGGACATAGCAGCTATATGAATTTCACTGCAGTACACTGTAAAATTTTCTAGATAGAACATACATGCATTGAGCAACAAAGTTAAAAAAATACATATCTTTACAAGTTACAGGCAGTAATGGGAGCTTATACTCACAGATATTCAAGAGGCCAAGACAAGAGGATAATTTGAAGCTAGAAATTCAATCCTGGGGAAATGCCAAGCATTTAAAAGGATTGCATACTCAAGGTGAAATTCTATCTGAAATTAATAAAAATTAATAATATTTTTTTGGCAGTGTTGATAATATAACAGCTGACAAGCTATTAATGGCTAAATGTTTGGAATTCTGTGGGTCAAAAAAGTATGATTTGCTATGTATGATGGAGATCAATTTAGTTAGAAGAAATATTTCAAATTCAATAATGAAAAACTACAACTTGCCAAAATTAAGAGGGCAAATAAAGAAGGGATCAGCAGTAAACTATTTTAGATGTTTTTATTTATTAATAAATTAGTATTTATTATAGGCTGACAAGATAGTAGAGAAGGAAAAGGCCACTGACAATCTGAGTTTGATTACCTAGGTGGAAGTTTAGCACTGATTCCTGAAAGCTGTCTTTCGATCTCTACAGAGCACTTGATGAGACACATGTACCCCTACACATACAAGTGTGTACATATGCTAAATTTTAAAAATGTAACAAAAAGTAAAGAAAAAATGCCTAAGATAGTGACCAATGGGTCCATTTAAAGAAGCTAGAGCCAGGACCAAGAGTAAATCTAATTTATAAAGTGTCAAATGAAAACAGGAGCTGAGTGGTGGTGGTGGTGGTGGTGGCGGCGGCGGCGGCGGCGGCGGCGGCAGCGGCGGTGGCGGCACACGCCTTTAATCCCAGCACTCGGGAGGCAGAGCAAGCAGATCTCTGAGTTTGAGGCCAGCTTGGTTTACAGATCGAGTTTCAGGACAGTCAGGGATACACAGTTTTTGTCTTGAAAAAAAAAAAAGAGTTGTAAAACTGGTAAACACTACTGATCAAGGTACAAGAAGAAAAACTAGTATCAGGAAAGAAAAAGAAGAGACTGTGTCAGGCTATGCAGACATTAATAAAGAGAATGGAATATTAAATACAGATTTTCACCAAAACTTGAAAACTTAGAAATTGCAAGTTTCTTGAGGAGACAGAACATACTGCCACCAGATAAAATACTATGAAATATAACTAGCTCTGTATATTGTAAATGGATTTAATTTGTCAAAGATTTTCTTAAAATCAAGCAAAATTGACAAGAAGTAGGACTGACCCCACACTTTATGGGGCAGGTTGGTGAAACCTGGATTGCCTGAAACCAACATACCTTTCTGTCTTTTGCATTCACAGGCTAAAGAGGAGCTGCTACAGTCAGCACACATCCCTGTCTGGTCATGTTCCCTTCCAAGTCCACTGCTATGGCACTGGCGATTCTTCAGGACTGGTGTGGGTGGATGGGTGTCAATGCCCAGCGTTCACTGCTTATCCTGGGCATCCCTGATGATTGTGAGGAAGACGAATTCCAGGAGGCTGTGCAGGCTGCCCTCAGGCCCCTGGGCAGATACCGAGTGCTTGGCAAGGTCTTCAGAAAGGAGATTGGGGCAAAGGTTGCTTTGGTTGAATTCGCTGACAATTTGAACCAAAGTTTGATCCCCCGACAAATACCAAGTGATAGGGGGCCCTGGTCTGTGATCTTCCTGCCTCAGGTCCCTGATATCGAGTTACAGGGTACATTCAATTTCCCTGCACAGGCTCATGGGCAAGCTTTGCAAGGGGCTTCAGGTGGGGCAGGGGCTTCAGGTACATCAGGGACTGCAGTTGAGGAAGGAGATGGAGGTGAGACAGGGAATGTGGGTGAGGCAGGAGGAGCAGCTGAGGAAGGCGATGAGGATGAGGCAAGAGTGTCGGAGGAGGAAGGAACAGAGGGTGAGGAAGGAGGAGCGGGTGCAGCCCCTCCTGCCTCCTTCCTACAGGAGGAAGGAGCTGCAGCTGAGGCAAGAGTGTCAGACAAGGAAGAGACAGAGGGTGAGGAAGGAGGAGCAGGTGAGGCAGGAAGAACAGCCGAGGAAGAAGCTGCAGCTGAGGCACGAGTGTCAGATGAGGAAGGAGCAGAGGCTGAGGGAGGAGTTATATATGAGGCAGGAGTAATAGATGAAGCAAGACTGTCAGACGAGGGGGCTATGGATGAGGAAGATGATGTAGTTGAGGCAGGGGCTGCAAGAATGTCTGATGAGGAAGGAGCTGGAGGGGACATGGGGGTTGCAGGTGTTATAGGAGCTATGGGTTGGGTAGGAGCTGCAGGTGAGGTAGGAGCTGCAGGAGAAGGAGGCGTTTTAGAGGCAGGAGCAGGTGATGATGGGTCTGCAGGTGAAGAGGGGTCTGTGGGTGATGAAGGGTCTGGGAGTGATGAGGGGTCTGCAGGGGATGAAGGATCTGTGGATGGTGGAGGGGCTGTGGGTGAAGCAGGAGCTGTAGGTGAGGCAAGAATGTCAGATGAGGAGGGAGCTGCAGGTGACATGGGAGTTGCAGGCATTATAGGAGCTGTGGGATTGGCAGGAGCCGCAGGTGAGGCAGGAGGTTCAGGTGAGGAAGGGGCCTTTGATGTGGCAGGAGGGGCACATGGGGCTGGAGCCTGGACCCAGCAGTGGAGCCAAGCCCTGCAGCCCATCCTGGAAAACATGGCCTACCAGGAACTGAGACACTTCTCTGGGATGGAAGAGCCCGGCTCTGGGGGTCAGTCTTTCGAGAGCTGGCTGGACCATGCCAATGACATGCTATACCTGTGGCGCCACATATCCGAGAGGGAGAGGCGGCGGCGGCTGGTGGAGAGCCTGGGGGGCCCTGCCCTGGATCTCCTGTGTGAGCTTCTGGAAGAACATCCAGATACCCCTGCACAGGACTGCCTGGCTGCACTGGTGCAGGTGTTTGGCAACAAGGATACCGTGATGACCGCCCGGCTGAAGTTCCTGACTTGCTCCCAGCGGCCTCAGGAGACCCTCTTTGCCTATGTGATGCGCCTGGAAGGTCTGCTGCAGATGGCCCTGGAGAAGGGGGCCATCCAGCCTGCAATGGTGGATCAGGCGAGGGTACGGCAGGTGCTGATGCGGGCCAGGCCCAACCAGATGCTGCAGAACACCCTGAGGAGGTTGCGGCTGGAGAGGCGGCCACCTGGCTTTGTGGGGCTGCTCAGGCTTGTCCGGGAGACTGAGGCGTGGGAGGCAGCTCTGGCTGAAAATGCGGTGGTCCCAGTGGGGGAAGGGGTGGAAGTGCATGGTGGAGAGCTGGATGTGGCCCAGGCTGCCCTTGTCAGTGTTGGGGGTGCTGAGCCTGCCCCTGCTGTTAGAGAGGCTCTGCCAGCTGGTGAAGATGCTGGCCAGGCTGCTGCTGCTGTTCTTGAGCAAGCTGCTGGGCCTGCTCCTGATAGTGGTGGTGCCATAAAGGCAGGCCCTGACTCTGATGAGGCCAAGGTCTTCCCTGTCACCCAGAGAGATGAAGATGTGTTGGCCTCTGCTGGCTCAGGCCAGGCGAGGCCCACTGAGGGCCCAGGTGTGCCTGAGAGCTTGGCCCGTACAGGAGATCAAGAAGTAGAGCAGCCTGTATCAGAGGGGCTGAAGGAAGAGTCAGAAAATGAGGATGGGGCATGGGAAGATAGTCACCCCAAACCCTTCTTTGGCAAATAGGCTCAGAAGGTCCAGGGGCTTCCTCCTACCTCAGGCAGTTAAGTCCTATAGGAAGGCAAGGTAGGCCCAAGGTCTGTGCTTCACCCAAAAGGTGTAGCAGGGCCCAGAAAAGGTTTTGCCCAACTTTAAACCAGCTCCCTTTCTTAAATCCTCAAGGGGTCCTGGCCACCACCAGCACCTCCCATTTGAGTTATGCAGGTGACCACATTTGCCACCAAGTAGAGTGGGGAGAGGTACCCTTTTCCATGACAATATCACCTCCAGATCTAGTCCTAAACTATTCTGGCTTGGCTTGCCTGAAACACATTGCTGAGGTCCCAGCCCCAAAATTAAGGATGTGGCTTGAGAATCCACCTGTTCTAGTCTGGAAGATGTGGCAAGGAGGTCATCCCAACACTTACAGCTACTTCATTCTCCCAACACAGGTAGCCCACCTCCTCCCATTTGCAGTTTCTAGGCTGGCTGCTTTCTGCAATGGGACATTCACATTATCTGTCTACCTCATAGTGACCCAGCTGTCCAGAGCATTCACCTTCACACACTCTCCCTCATCCATTGGTTTTGTGCAAAGCCATGAGATAAATTAACCTGGGCAAATGAAAGTTCTGGCCACCCGGTCAACAACTTCCATACAGAGGCATGCAGTAAGCTGCTGTGCTGGTCAAGCCTTTCCTTCCCATATTATGAGCCACTTGTTTGCTTTCTCAGTGTGAACCTAGGTCTGCCACTGGCTGATTGTTTTTCAGATATGTGCATTGCCACCTGAGCACATCCTTTCCAGAGACCCCAAGTTCAGCATCAGGAACCAGCAGGAAGAACAGAAGACAAGGGACTGGGTGATGCTTATCTTGTGACTGTCACTTGGTGGATCTGCACAGGCAAAAAGACATAGACCTGGGAGGGGCTTGGACACCATGTTTTTGTTCCATTTAAGTTGTTATTTATGATTCCTATATCCTCTACTTGGTGGGGTATTCTGTGTTGTGATTTCTGATGTCTATAACTGGCCTGTGTCAGTATTAGGACAGGGCCACCCCACAGTGTGTGACCCCTTGAAGTCATCCTCTAAAGTAAATGAGTATTACCTGAGGCCATTGTCTTGATAAGATGCACATCTTGGATCTTTGAAAAAGGAGAAAAATAGTGAGGGGCCCCAAGGTGCTTTCAGAGCCTCAGGAGGAGTACAGTCTGGGAACTAGAGCTTCTGGTGGCTAAGATGTGTTTCTGACTACTGTTTTACCTTTTTCAATGGTTTCATTAAATGTTTTTCTTTAATAAATTTTTTGGATGTTTCAACTGTGTCTCACCATTTCCTTGGGCAGTTGGGGATGGAATAGGCTTACAAGAGTATCAAATTTCAGCTGGGCACTTATGGGTTATATCGTTACTGAGAGGGTAAGCAGTAAGCACTTCAATAGCCAGGCTAGAGATTGGTGAGAACTTCTATTTCAGAGATGATTTGTAGTTCAGTTTCACTGGTCTAATTTGGGATTTTGAAAATATTTTGCCACCCTGACATGATAGCTCATGACTAATCCCTGCACTTGTTAGACTTACAGTTGTAGTCTAACCATGCAGGGAGTTTCAGGCCAGCCTAGGCCACAGCTACATGTGAGACCCTATTAATTTTTATTTATATGTATGTGTTCAGATGCCATTTGTGCAGGTGCCTGCAGAGACCAGAAGAGGATATTGAATACTCGGAAGTTGGATGTCCAAGTAGCTGTGAGATGCCCAATGTGGGTGCTGGGAACTGAACTATCGTTCTCGGCAAGTGCTCTGAACTGCTAGGCTATCGCTTAAAACATTCAAAATGATTTTTGTTAATGTTGGTTTTCTCGGTTTAGGGATGACACTGCATGGGGTTTAAGACAACACTAACCATCATGCCACTTTTCACTTTCTGTTATTCTACACACATTGTGAACTGAGGCCTGTGGTAGGCTGAATGCCTCTAGCTTCTGGCCTTCAGTCTTGTTCACTGACAGTGCCAGATGCCTAGGCTAGCATAGGCTACGGGGTTGCATGTAGCTCAGGGTGTAAGGCACAGAGTACCTTTCAACCCTGTGTCTTTCCTCATGTCAGTGTAGCTCCCAACTATGAAATATGGACATTATATTCAGCAGTATGTACATAGATCTGGCTGTGTAAAGGCCCTGGGCAATTAAAGATAGCCTGTGTGGTGACCTATAAATGCTTGGCCTAACCTTTACTCTGTGGGGGCTCTTCTGAACTTAGGGTTAGGGGTCATGAGTGTGTTGCCAAAGGGTAAGGAGGAACTAAGGCTTTAGGGTGTGTAGTGGGTAGCCAGTCCAGCTTTGATCTGGAAGTTCAAACCTCCATTGAGACTCTGGCAACTGTCCTGCCTATGAGGCGGGGCCAGGGGAGGCACCTGAAGATCTGAGATCTGGATAGGCCAGCGCACTCTCTGTGCCAGGACGCTGAACGGTGGAGATGGACCGAGCAGAGCTCCAGAGAACACCGCTGGACTGTGATACACCTTCCCCAGACCCTGCGACCTACCTATCCCTTAATTTGTCAGTTACACCATTAAATAAATATCCTTTTAACTACGTGGAGTGGCCTTAATAATTTCACCAATAAGGGTGGCCCAGAGAGGGATAGCAGCTGCCTCTCTCCAGTGGCTACCTTGCAAGCATCGGAAATTTCTTTCTGAGGAAAGATAAGTTGTATTATCATTGTTTAAGTTGTTGCCAGTTGTACCACTGTCACGTTCCAGATAACACTGGGAGTTTGCAGCATAGGCAGTTTTACAAAGAGGCCACACCAAGCTAAGTGTGAACTATGTACCAAATCTGCTGCAGAGGTGGTGGTCTTGGCTCTTCAGCAACCTGGGTCTGCATTACCCCTCAGTGATTCCCTAGGAATTCCAAATCTCTTTAATAGGGGCAGTAGTCCAACCCTGTCCTCTGGTGCCATAAACTGAAGTGCATGTGGCACTGGGTGTCCCACATGGCCTGCTGAGGAGTTATTGAGAGATCTTGGGAAGTTGAGGGCAATGTGTGCCTCTGAAGCATAAGGTTCATGTTTGTAGGTACATAGTGCTGGTGCAGGCAGAGGGAGCAAGATGTTCCCAGATCACAGACAGCAAGTATTAAGCATACTGTGCCCATGGCACTAATCTGGAGCTAATTTTCTTAATCACCTTTATGGTTTTAGGTTATGGTTGACCACAGGAGAAATAAACCAGAAGTTGTTCATTTGTTTTATGCCCAGCTTGGTTCAGTGTAGATCAGATCATTGCAGACCACATGGAACTGCTGATCAACCACCTCACCTGGTCTCATCACCTCCTGGCAAATCTCTATGAGCAAGGCCAAATGCAGTTCTGTGAGAAGGCTCTTCCATGGTGGGAGTTTGAGGTATCAAGAGGCCAAGTGGCTTCTGCATCCTCATCCTCTGTCTCTCCCTGCTTCTAGTCCAACTGACTTTATTTTCAGTTGCAGGCACAAAGGTCGCAGCCTAGCATAGACTTCTGCCCCCTGTAGCATCTACAAACCCATGACAAATCAATTGTCATCCATATGTAGAACTCTGATTTTGACTAATAAACTCTAAGTGGCATACCATTCCCTTGGGGTACCTTTTTGGCACAAGGATTGCATGTACTTGGCTCCCAAGGAATTTCCTGCCAATTCCTGCCTGGCCCCTGTGTTGACAAGGAGCTCCAGATTGCTCTGCTCTGCTCTGTCCTGCCCTGGGGGCCACTGGAGAGATGCCTCCTTCTCTTAACCTTTCAGAGATTATGAAGGCCACATTCTCTTTAACCTCCCAATTGGGTGAGAAAGGCCTCAGTCTAATGTCTAGGTCGTGGTTAAAGAAACAGCCAGAGTTGCTGAAGAAACCTTACTTTGCTCAGCAAAAGGGCTTGAACAAGGTGTCTGATAGCCCTGCTCACTAGACACTTCTAGCCACAGTTAGGAACACTGAGGCAACCCCTTATTTGCACTGTCTTAAGCAACCTGGTGGGGACTGGTCCCCAGTGTGACTGCTGCCCAGATGTCAAACATATCCTGAATCTATATTGTGATATTTCACTGACACAGTGGATATGGCCCTCACAGTGGATATGGTTCTGGAAGAGGTCAGAGATCATCTTACCCACTGATAAGCCCTTAGATAGGGTAAGGCTTCCCAACCTAGGGCAGCCTTCAAGATGGGGCCACAAGTACCTATTGCCAGGACCAGCTCCTCTTGCATGACTGACTTGGTTTGGGGACTGATGGAGGCAGGACATACCATGCTCATGGCCTATAATGTTATCTGTCGGCCTGCAAAAGATACCAACTTAGAAAGGAAATTCCTTCAAGATCTTGGGTTATTTTCCTTTTTCAGTAAACTGAGTTAAAATGATGGGCTGGCCTTGCTTCAAAGGCAGCTTCAAAGAGGAAAAAGATACTATCAAAAACTGTTACAACCCCAAACCACAAATTAGTCAGTGACCTAGCCAAGCAGTGCTAAGTATGGACAGAACAGGAGTGAACTGAGCGAACAATGCCTTCTCAGAACCGGAGCAGAAATCAGATTGCTCCAGAATTAAGGGTCACAGTTCCAAAAGTCACAGAAAAATGGAAAACAAATCTTTAATTAGATTAATGAAATTTAAGGCCACAGGCCATGGGAGTAGCAGAATATCCCAAGGCAGATGTAAAAGATGTGAAAGATTTCAGAAAGTGAAAGATGATTTGAAGACACTGGTGGAAATGAGGCACCACAAACCAGCATAAGATTTATACATGAAACAGTAACCACAACTACAAAAATAATGAGGATTAGTGATGTTGAATGCTTTTTTCTTTAACTTGTTGGCCATTTAATAATTTTCTTTTGAGGATAGTGATTCAGATCACTCACAAGCTTTTAAATTGGACTACTTGTTTTATGGTGTTCAGTTTCTTGTATATTTTACATGTGAACTTTTGGTTTATTTTTAATCAGTGTTTGTACATGGTGAGGGGTAGGGGTATAGTTTCATTCTTCTGTACATGGATACCCAGTTTTCTAATATCATTGATTAGATACTGTTCTCTCTTCAAAGTATGTTCTTGTTGCTTTTGTAAAAAAATTACTTAGATAAAAATACATGCACTTATTTAGGGGTTCTCTTTTTGTTCTATTAGTCTATAAGATATCATTAGATCATAGTTAGAATGGCTATTATAAAAATATAAAATCTGGTGAGGATGGGAAGAAAGAGAAACTCTCAGACTATGTTGGTAGGAATGTAATTATATAGCAAGTAGAGAAAACAGCAGGGATCCTCATCAAGAATCTACAAATAGAACTATTGTGTGATATACTCATTCCACTACTGGGTATATATCCAAAGAAAAGGAATCAGTATTTCAAAGAGGCACCTGCACTCTCATGTTTAATGCAATATTATTCACAATAGCAAAGATACAGAATAAACTTAAGTACCCATGGTTAGATTAATGATGTGATATGTAGCCTTTTATTTCTATATCAAAATATCTGATACAATCAACTTAAAAGGACAGGCTTATTTCTTCTTATAGTTTTGGAGAGTTTTCTCCAACAGTCATGGTTGATTGGCCTTGTTGCTTTGGGGACTATGGTGAAGCAGTACATCATTCTGGAGACAAATGCATGGTGGAGCAAGCTGCTCACAGTAGCCAGGAAGAAGACAAAGAAGAGTTCAGCATCCCACAGATTTAAGGATGTGCTGACCTCAGAATGGAAACCAGGGTATGTGTTACATTGGGGACAAGGTTTTGCTTTTGTTTCTACAGGAGAAGATAAGCTGTGGATACCATCAAAATTGATAAAGGTTCGATGTAGGGGGTAGCTGTTCCAGCTTTGACCTGGAAATACTACCCCCATTGAGGCTTTGGTAACTGTCACACCGACAAGGCGGAGCCAAGAGAGGAACCTGAAGACCCGAGATCTGGATGGGCCAGCTCTCTTGGTTCCTGGACCCTGGACGCTGGAGGTAGACTGAGCAGAGTTCTCCAGAGAATACCACTGGACTGTGCTACACCTTTCCCAGACCCTGTAACCTATCCCTTTGCTTGTAAGTTACCCCACAAAATAAACCTCCCTTTTAACTTCATGGAGTTGCCTTAATACTATAATCAATAGTTTGATTTGAACAAGAGAGACCTCTTAATTAGAGGAGGTGATAGTTCATCAACCAGCAAGACCATCCAATTTAAACTAACTTATACCATTAATACATACCTTTTCTTTAATCAGATATAACTTGCCAAAGGGAACCTCCCCAAAGTTAGTGTGGGGAAAAGGCT